AACAGGATCCCAGAGAGGGATGTTCGTTTTATACTAATCGTCGTAAACGAACTAGGCCTCGGTTAATTATTGCGTGCTCTTAACCCGTAAGATATTAAATAGGCATGTGCACATAATTGTTGTTTCTTTGATTCTTTGGGTGAGATCCAAGCCGGGTCGACATACTTAATGAATTGGGTAATGACATTATGTGTTCGATGTGCTATTAGGATATTTACGGTCACCATGTGCGTTAGTGTGATGATGTCCCCGAAGTGAGTTCATGAAGGAATATTATGCTAAACCCTGCAGGTGGATTTATTCCGGCATAATATGAATGCTATGAGCGAGCGCTAGCTTCGATAATATAATATATTAATTAATTCTTGATTATTAGTGATCGAATTAATTAATGGACATTATATCTTAAACATGGGGAGGTAAATCAGATAATTATAATAAGGAGTCTCAAATGTAATTTGGGATAGGTGAGGGGAGTGCAATAATATTATTGTGGTGGACTTTAATATTATTAATATATTAATTGTGGGGTTGCTCCACAGTATTAATATATTAGAAGCCCTTATCCTATTCTCCTTAGGGTCCCTACTGTAGCTCTATATATACAGCATTAGGCTCATGGAAGAAGAGAACAATCCCATAACTTGGGAATTGCGTCCAGCTCTCTTCCTCTCTCTTCCAAGGAGTTCTTCTATTTCTTGTGTTCCACTGATACAAGATCTAGAAAGCTGTTTGAGAATACAGTAGAAGATCTTAAGGTATATAGAGATTCCGATCATACATCCAAACCGGAGACCAAAACCAGCAAGTGACCATACCACGACGACCAGGACGACGAGACGAAGAGATCGCCGTCGAGATCGCCGCCGGACTCCGCCGCACGCGCCGCCACGCGCCGCCCGAAGGTCCCAGTCGCTGAAGCTTGTCGTCGCGCGTGAGAGCGCGTGTGAAGTCCGTTTTTCGATCGGTCAACGCCGTTGACTTCGTCGTGACATCAGCTTTCCGGATTGGTCATGTTTGTTCGATTCCGAGAAGATTTGATTTGCGGTCAACTGTCCGGGCCAGCCAGATCTACATAAATTTTAAGCAGTAAGTTTTCTTCATCAAACCTTTAGATCCGCTGCGCATAGGTTTATGTTGAATGTTTGTCCGTGATTTGTGCATATCGAGATCCTCGTGGGTTCCAACAATTAGTTCCTTATAAGACTAAACTATTCGTTCACAGTCTAGACAGGCAATGAGACCCCTCTTGGAAAAAGACTGTAGTGTATTGTTGATTCAGTTGGTCTTTGACTGAAGAATTACACTAGCACTTATGATAAGTGTAGAACAGGACCGCAGAAGGATAAGATTATGAGACTCACTGATCATTGTTGTAATCTAGACCTTCGGTCATTGATGCGTTCTCTTAAGTTGTAAGGTAATATAAAATAGGCATATATATTCACTTCTTGTTTATTTGATTTACCAAGTGATTCCTATTTTTATTAGTATGACATACGAGATATTTTGGTAAATGAGAATGATTATATGATGTGCTATTATAAATAATTTATGGTCACTATGTTCCAGTGTGCTGGATTGATGATGTCCCCGAAATGAGCTCAGAAAGGTACATTATGTTAAACCCTGCAGGTAGACGATTGTCTGACATAATGGTTAATGATCTGAGTGGTACTAATTTCAGAAATGAATAAGAAGTTGATTAATTATTTTGTCAGTAATTTAATTGATCAACGGACGTTATATTTTAAACATAGGGAGGTAAATCGATCAATCAGATTAATACTATTTAATCATGGAGGTTCGAATTTATTGATAAATTAGGAGCTAAATGGAGAGAGCAATAATATTACTCTAGTGGATGTTTTATTATTTAATTCCATTTAATGAGGATTTAATTTTATTCCATATTTATTATTCCATAAGGAAAGGAATATTCCTACTAGAATCTTGTCTAAGGTTAGGAGACTTGGGAGTCTTCTAGAAGGTGATTAGTAGTAGGAGAATTATATCCTAGATTGGATTAGTAGATTGAGTAGAATTAGGATTCCTTGGCCTAATGGGATAAGCCCATATTTAGCACCTCCTTAAGGTCCCTAATGGAGCCTATAAATACACCATGTCCCAACCTCTTGTACAAGACTTGAGCTAGCCGATTTTTCTCCCACATACACGAGACAAAGAGCTTTGTTCGAGAGTTAGGGAGATTCGATTAATCGCTCCACCAAGATTAGTCGAAGTAAGTGTTTAGGTAATCCGTTAGAAAGCTTTTGGGTACAATATATTCAAGCCTTTAAATACATATATTCCGGTCATCCCCTCCAGCCGACCGCCACCGGAAATCGTCACCGCCGCCTGAAGTCACTGGAAGCCACCCAACGCCTATCCATACGCAGTCGCCAGCCAGCGGTACCAACGGCGCGTAGCCAGACGCTACTGCGCGGCACCAGCGACGCACCGCGCCATCACCTGCCTGCTCGTGCACCACCGCTGCACGTTACCCGCTCGCGACCGTTCCAGCACGCAAGGAGCACGCGCGCACCAGTCTGCGAGAGCCCAAGATTCTTGCACTGCATGCACGTGTCCGTCTAGTTGCCTTGTCGCGTCCTGGTCATGCCGTGTTTGTCGCACGCGTCCTCGCCCAGCTCGCGCACATGCTCTTTCTTGGCTATCTCTTAGGCTGATTGGCGCGCGATCCTTGAGCGCTTCTGGGCACGGCCCGCCGTGTGGTCAGGTGGCCTAGCCACATACTCATCATTCTCGCCTCTTTTAAGTACATCCTTGTCCTCAAGGATCAAGGCTAACTCCAAACTCCTCATCTCGGCATCTCGGCTTATTCCCATCGGCTTGATTTTATGCCTTTCTTATAATTCATAGTGACTTCTCTGAGTCCTTCGAGCCATTGAATTCCAGGAACTATCTCGGGCCCCACAGTAGGTAGTGCATAGATGTCGACTTTGATGATCTCGCCTTGCAGGTTGATGGGCACTTCCCGATAATATTCGTGACATCTTAGCCGCTCTCCATTGGCATCCCTTACATCGAAGGTTCCACCTTAGTTACCTTGAGCGTTAAGTCCTTAGGTACTCTGTCGTAAATGAAGTTGTGCGATAAGCCTGTGTCGACTAGTACCTCGATTGGCCGTTCCTTGATCATGGTGGGTAGTCGGATTGTTCTCGGCCCTTGTAGGCCTGCCATTGTATTGACCGAGATCTCCAAATCTTCGTTAACTTGCTGCCCCGGCTGGTCCTCATAGGCCTCATCCTTGTCTGCTTTGATGACGTCGATCAGAAAAATTTGTTTGCATCCATGGCCTGGGGTGAACCTTTCTTCCCATTTGAAGCAGAGACCCTTCTCACGTCGGCGTCTCATCTTCTCGAGAGTGAGTTGTTTAACGCCCGGAGGTGGCATTCGAAAGCTGATCGGTGGTCACGGGTTGGGATGGAAGTTTCTCTCGTTCGATGGTGCGCGGTCTATGACTGCGTGCTCATCCAAGTGTTGGTTCGCGCACCGTTGCTCCATGTTCCGCACAATCTCTCGCCCGATCCTCTGCGTGGCCGTTAAGTGTTCGTCCCTCCTTCGTGCAGCCTCCATGACCTCGCGCATGGTCCTTGGTCGGTCGAGTATTACTTCCACGGCTTGCTCGAATTTGAGCCCACATATGAAAGTCCCGATGAGCGCAGAGCTAGGCCAGTTGCGCACCCGACAGGCTAGTCGCTTGAACTATTTTATGTAGTCTCGAAGACTTCCCGTCTGCTTGATGTGTGAGAGCGCCTCATCATAGCTATGGTAGTCGGAAGATCCAAATCGAGCAAGTAGCTCGCGCTTGAATTCTTCCCATTGGATGTGGAGCGGGTTGCCTTGGTAGACGCTCACGAGCCATTGCCACCAAACATTGGCTTCTCCATCTAGGTAATAGGCCGCATATTTGACCCTCTCATACCAAGAAGTCTCGTTGATGTCAAAATATTATGCAGCTCGGTTGAGCCATGCGTCGGGGTTCTCTCTGTTGAACGTGGGCAACACAAGCCTCGATTTCTCGATACGTGGAAGACCTTGATGATTCGAGGCCTGCGATTGCCTCTCATACTCCTCCTCCTGCTCGCGCTCGAATTGCTAGAACTCTCTCCTGACTTGTTCTTGCACATGGGGCGGTGGTCGAGATCCATGCGGGGGTGGTCGATTGCCATGTGGGGGTGGTCGAATGTCGTGCGGTGGTGGTCAATCGTCGTGGCGCGGTGGCTGCTGGCCTTAGAAATTTCTCAAGAGTTCATCGAACCTTTGGTTCATGGCCTCCATCAAGTCCGTGCGGTTATCGATTATGGCAGTCTTGGTGTTGACGAGCTCTCTGGTTAGAGATTCGAACCTTTCATCGACAGATTCGCCCATAGTCTTGAATTGGCCTTCCAAGCTCTCGATTTTTTTCCTTCATCTCTCGATTAGCCATCTCTTTACGCTCTTGCCTTCGCTCCTTACTACACGGACTCGTGTTTGAAGATTTTTTTTTATTCGAACAAAAAAGAAAAAAGAGAGAAAGAAAAAGAATGGGGAAGAAAAAGACACACGATCTAGCACCTCTTAATGAAACCCTCTCAACGAGAGCACCAATAATGAAGATCGCGTGTCCCAGTTGCCGATAAGTCACACACTCGCGCCTTAAACCGACGATAGGTGTCTCTCGAGCCACGTGAGCTCCTCTTGAAATGAATAAAATTGCAATAGAAATCTAGAAGAAATCTAAGGCAAAGTGTTTGAACCGAAGTTCAGGATTTTCTATTAACTAAGACTATTCAAGGATTCAATTCATCATGAAAATAACAAGAGGGAGGGCCTTTATATAGACACAAATTATATGTAGTCATAATCTACCTAGAACTCTAATAAAACAATAAAATATTAAGCAACCTAAACAATCTAGATATCATAATGAAAGAAGGAAACTAAATATCTAGGGAGTCTTGAGAAGCCTTGTCTTGCACTCTAAGCAAAACCCCTAGCCGCCTACATGTCCGCCGCCTAGGTCACCCGCCGCCTCGTGCGCCTCGCCCGCCTGTCCTCTTGCCTCGAGGATTAAGGCCTCGCACCCTGCGTGCGCCATTCCTATTCCTCATAGGGAAAAAACCTTAGTCTCCGCTAGCACACCATCTTGGCTTCGTCCTGCGTGCGTCTCTCCTATGCCTTGAAGGATTCTGCCCGAGCCCGCATCCACTTTGCCTATTCCTACTAGAAATATGCTCTCCGTTACGTTGCCTGTTCCTTCGAGGATTACTCCCGTCGACGATCTTTCATGCGCGTACCAGCACTCAGCTTCTTTTCCTAATCCTGCGGGGTCTAGTGTTCGGGCCTTGCCTATTTTTATGAGGATTAGGCTTTTCATCCTGGTCATGGAGTGTTTGTCGCACGCGTCCTCGCCCAGCTGGTGCGCACGCTCTTTCTTGGCTATCTCTTCAGCCGATTAGCGCGCGATCCTTGAGCGCTCTTGGGCACGTCCTGCCGTGTGGACGGGTCGCCTAGCCACATACTCATTACAAGCGCTCGACGCGTATCGCCAGCGATCCGCGCATTACGCCACCGCATGACGCACACCAGCTGCTGCCCGCGACCGATCCGCTGCTCCCGACTCCGAGACCATCACACCGTGTGACTGAGTTCCGACTTCTCGATTAGAATCGAGTAAAGGACAAATCTATCTCTCCATTAGATTGTGGTGTTCAGACAAACTACATCAACTACTACATCGTCTCTGAGTCGGCAAAAAATTTAAAAGGTAATGTCCACATCCTAACTATAGATTCCGCTGCGTTAGGATTTATTTCGATAAGTTGAATTCTATGCATGTTGTTTGATGTTCCTCATAGAACCCAACAATTGGTATCAGAGCCCAGGTTTAATTCAACCTCGTGCACAATTTGAATTTGGACTTTGCCTGTTTACATGAATTATATGCATACGAACGCAGCGGCATAGGAGATTAGAAATTGTAATGAGTTTTTTGCAGGTGATTTCGAATCCAACTATTATAGCCCCTATGTATGGATTTTAATTCATGTTGTATGTATGTTATTTTATTAGCCTCGGACATGTCGAGGAATTTTTGGGTTGGTGAATGCTTGTAATAAATTATTCGCGCGGTGGGACACCACATAGTTTATTGCTTTCATAGTAACTCATGTACGGCTCCTGCGTGGGTCATAGGATGAATTGTGTAATTGTTGTTTATATTATTCATTATTGATCCGGCTGGCGTGGACCAACTTTGGCGGGGCGAGGCGATAAACACGTACACGGATGTCATGGTGATGATCCAATGGAGAATTTCCCAGAGACGACCAATTCAATGGGAGTCACTGCGAAAGGGGGGATCCAATACCTGAATCGGAGGACACACTCGACAAGGACAGGACTGTGTTTTCTCCGCAACATTGGAGATTGATTGATGGCCATGATAGTTGGACTATAATTCCTAGTTTATTATTGCTTATTAATCATGTATGTTCTTATGTGATTGCTTGTGTGAAAATCGGATTATTAGGAGCATGTTTAGGAAAATCCCGTAAAACAAAAATTATATTAAGTGTGTAATGGGTTGAAATAAATTACATCCAAGGCCTCCATTATAGGTTTGTCAGTGAAGTGATTTAATTCGAGCCCAAAGGATGTTTTATTTCACAGTTCACATGGATGAATCTCCTTCGGGATGGTTATAGTGAGCTATTTCAAAAGCGTACGGGTCACCCAAAGGTGGACTTATAATTTTGGTAGTAAACTTAAGACCAATTAATGGGTTACACATAAAGTGCAAATAATTACGATATTCCCAAAGGAAATTGTCGTTTTTATTCTTTTACAAGTTAATTGCGCTGGCCAAAAGATGGACCGACTATTAGTTAAGTATTGCTTGGCAGTATGTTAAGCTAATGGTTATTATCCCTCCTGTTGCAAATGTTCGAACCGTTGACGTCCACACTCTGTGGCCTGCGGGGATTCGGTGCTTTGAGGTGTTGGTGAATTTATTTGAATATTGTTACATGAGATCTATATTTGATGTTTAAATTCAAAACTACTTGACTGAGTAAAGACTATGTTTGCATGATCCCAGGAATTCAAAATTTCTTTCAATCCGTAGTCCGTAATTCTCAAAGAAAAAAACTTGTTGGTCCCAATTATATTGACGGGAAAAGGAACTTAGATATTGTGTTAACTGCTGAGGGGTACAAATTTGCTACTATTGAGGCTTGTCCGGCTGTGGCTGCTGATAATGCACCAGACCAAGAGAAAGAGGAGTATGCTCGGTGAAAAAAGGCTGACGAGATGGCGAAGTGTTATATCTTGGAATCTTTGTCAATTGTACTTCAACATCAACATTAGTCTATGAACACTGCAACAGAGATGCTCCTCAATCTCAAGGAGTTATTTGGTCATCTGTCGCGGCCTACCCGACAAGAGGCCATGAGGGTTCTGATGAACATGACCATGTGTGAGGGCAATCCCGTAAGGGAACATGTTCTTGCTATGATGGCCCAGCTGAATGAGCTAGAGGTTCTTGTGGCATTAATTGACGGGAAAACCCAGGTCGATATAGTGCTCCAGTCTTTGCCGAAGAGTTTCGAGCAATTCCGGTTGAATTACAACATGAATAAGATGTTATTGACTCTTCCGGATCTTGTCTTTAAACTTCAGTCGGCAGAGGGCCTGTTTCGTCAGAAGACCCAAGCTATGGTGGCTTAGCTGGGTGAAGCTTCCACTTCTAAGGCTTCTAAGGGCAAGAAGAGGACGAAGTCCGCAGGAAAGGGCAAGGCGGTCATGAACGACGCGCAACCTCGGCAGAAGGCAAGGAAGCTGAAAGGCAAGTGCCATAGATGCCAGCAGAAAGGACACTGGAAGGCAGACCGCCCTCTCCTCAAGAAGTTCGACAAAGGTACATCTTTTTCTTTAGTCGTTGCAACATGTTTAGCGGTGTTATCTACCAAAACATGGTGTGTAGATACAAGAGCCACTGGTCATGTCTGCAATTCATTGCAGGGTCCAGAAGACCAAACGCCTTAGGGAAGGAGAATTTACCATCTACTTGGGCAATGCTAGTAGCACGTCAGCAGTTGCAGTGGGAGATGTCTATTTAGATTTTGGCTTAGATAGGTTTCTAGTTTTAAAAGATTGTCTTTATGTTCCTAGTTTTAGAAAGAATTTGATTTCAGTTTCTAAGTTGTTTATGAACGGTTTTTCTCCTACTTCCGATAATAATTTTGTTATTCATTTTGGCAAAAAATTCATATTTTCTGGTTCATTAGTAGACAATCTATATATTCTAGAATCTAAGTCATCTCCACTGCAATAGAAACAATTACTTAATTCATCATCTAATGTGAATAAGAATAAGAAACCTTCTAACATGAACGAAACATATCTTTGGCATCTAAGACTTGGTCATATAAACCTTAGGAGGATTCAAAGGTTGGTGTCAGACGGGCCCTTGGGGTCGTTAGAAGTCGAGGCTTTTCCAACTTGCGAGTCTTGCCTGGAAGGCAAAATGACTAAGAGGGTTTTTAGTTCGAAGGGGCATAGAACTGAAGATGTCTTAGGGCTTGTTCATTTCGATCTATGTGGTCCTATGAGTGTTCAAGCGAGAGGTGGTTTCGAGGACTTCGTTACGTTTATATATGATTACTCGAGATATGGGTACATTTTCCTTCTGCACCGTAAGTTTGAATGCTTTGAGATGTTCTTAGAGTATAAAGGCAGTTGTGGAGAAGCAGTTAGGAAAAAAGTATCAAGTGACTACGATCAGGTCATGGTGGCTAATATCTCTCGAATGAATTTAGGAACTACTTGACGGATAATGGGATTACATCCCAGCTGACTGCGCCAGGCATGCCTCAGCAGAATGGCGTAGCAGAACAGAAGAATAGGACTCTTATGGAAATGGTTAGGGCAATGATGAGTTATAGTACTTTACCAGATTCGGTTTGGGAGATGCCCTAGAAACAACAGTATACATTCTAAAGAGAGTACCTTCTAAACCAGTACCGTCTACACCATTGGAGTTGTGGTCTGGGCATAAGCCCAGTCTAAGGCATCTCAGGATTTGGGGTAGTCCAACACACTTGCTGAGAATCGATACTGGTATGTTGGAACCGAGAACAGAAGTAAGGCTGTTTGTGGGATTGTTATCATCCGACTCGGCAAAATACCATCAAGAGGTTCCAAACATCATGTTAAGAGAAAATTACCATTGAACCGACGTGATTTTACAACCACACCGGTCCAGGCAATGAACCGGTCCGAACTACCAAAGACCGAAGTGATCAATACCTACCGAGGTCTACTTAAACCGAGGTCGTCACCTCCTTAAGCAGGTGACAAGGCGCCTACACTCCTATCACACTCTACGAGGATCGTCATCATTCATGTGGGGACCACTGCTCCAAACCGCCCACCAAAAGTTACTTTATGCGAAAAGTAGTACCCGAATCCCAAGATGTATATTGAAAAAGCTACTATAAATAGTGAGCCCATGACATTTGTATGGGGATCTCTCTCCGAACTCATTATTATGAAACACGTAGAAGCCCATCACGGCTCTTCACCTCGGTTCACCTCAGACCGGGGCCATTGTTGAGTTATTTCTACATGCTTTACATCCAAACCGTTCATAATTACCATCTTAATCATTTGTAACATCGTTGTTAGAAATCACATAACAACAGTTTGGCGCTAGAGGAAGGGCCTCATAAGTGATTTGAGGTCAATCTCCGCTTTTCCAAGTGACGATTTACACCAGCCATATCCACCATGTCTCACTCAGATCATCGTGGTCATACCTCACGAGACGGCCACAGTCGCAGCGCCGCGCAATCTGCCAGACGACAAGCCGTGGCCCCGCCTGTATCGGATTATGCTGTTCTGTTTCAAAATCCAGAGTTTGCGCGTGGTTTTGCTGCTCTAATGGCCCAAACAATTCCGGGAACATCAACGACTGCTCCGGGACACTCTATCATTCCCACGACTCCCGCAAACCGGCAGAATCCACCGGCGCGACAAGACGGCGGAAGGACAACATCTCATGTTACATCTCAACCTCGTGATCGAATGTCGCAACCGCCTCCGGAACAAACTACGCGTCGCACCAACGCCGAGCGCAATCCTCCTATACTTCCTCAAGAAGAAACTGTCGAAAGCCAATCGGGTCATTCACGACGATCACCGCCTCATGCACAGCGCCGAAATCCCTCCAACCCAGCGCAGACCGACCTTCGACAGCATATTGAACGAAATCGGGCTCGACAAGAGTCATCCGAACTCGAAACATTGCGACGAAGAATAGACGAATTGGAAAGTCGGCAATGGGCACCTGAAGATCCGCCTCGACAGACCTCCACCTCGGTGCAAGTGTATTAGGAAGCCGATTCTCCCCTTACTCCGGAGCTCACTTCAGAACCAGTACCTGGAAAAGTCAAAGTCCCCCAGATCGGGCTATACGACGGAACATCTGACCCTGACTCGCACCTCGGTCATTATACTTCTTGGATGGATTTGCATGGGGCCTCAGATGCACTTCGGTGTCGAATGTTTTCGCTTACACTGGGGCCTCGGGCCCAAAAATGGTACCATTCCCTTCCTCCGCATTCCATTTGGAAATGGCAACAATTGAGGTCGGCTTTTCGATCTCATTTCATCGGAGCTCAAGTATGCCTTATCCCAAAAGAATCTCTTGCGAATATCACTAAAAAAGACGATGAAAGTGTCAAGGATTATATTGCCCGATTCAATGACCGAGTTCAGAATATGGAACCTTGTCATCCTGAAACCTTGCTTGTCATGGATATTGCTGGATTGAAACCAAATTCGATTTTCCGCTGGACACTATGCCAAAATAAACCGAATACTTTTCAAGAATTTCTCGCTCGAGCCCAGCAGCACATCATAGCGGAAGAAGCCATGTCGGTTCCCGATTTTAACTTTAACCCAAAGTCTTCTAAAGCGGGAACCGACGAAAAAAGGAAGAATAATTTCTTCGACAAGCAAAGTAAGACTCAATTCAGGGGACCTCCCCGAGGAGACCCCAATGATCCTGAAGTTCGAGCTGCCTGAAAACAGTATGATACCGACGTGAAGTCCGGTTATCAAACCGTGTATTCTGCAGGAGCAGCCACCATATATGAAGAAATCAAAGGGAAGGGCATCTTACCAGATCCCAAGCCACTTCGGATGCCCGAAGAAAAACCGGACAAATCCCGGTATTGTGATTATCATAAATCACCAGGGCACAACACGGACGAGTGTTTGAGTTTGTTAGCTGCATTGTTGCGTTTGATTGGCCATCCGCAGCTCAGAAAATTTTATCGTAATACTGATCCCCAGAGGCGAGGTCCGGGACGCCATATCGAACCCTTTGATGAAGACAATGAGGAGGACCGAGGTACCATGCCAAAGCGCATCCGACAAGGGGACAAGGAAGTATTCATGTTCACCTCGGAAACATCTGATTCTAACTCTGCTGAAGCCTCCCGAGGGCGTAAACGAGATCGGTCTCCTGAACCGATTCAAATCACAGTCCACCGTGTCAACACCAATAACTCCCGGAGTACATTATCTCGTCGACAGGTCAAGGCTTATGCCCGACAAGCGCACAACTCTGGCAAACAGGTCTATACTACCGATTTGAGAGATATTATCAACAATCGGAACTGCCCCATAACCTTTAATATGGAAGATGCTAATCATTTCGCACACCCTCATTCCGATGCGCTTGTTATCACCGTCCCTATATGCGGAATTCCAGTTCACCGCGTCATGGTGGATACTAGGGCCTATTCGAGCATTTTGATGTTAAAGGCTTTTGACAAAATGGGCCTTGATCCCGCCGAAATCCGACCTTGCAACGATCAAATACAAGGGTTCAACGGCAGTATGTCAAAGCCTATCGGCGAGATCACTTTACCTGTCAGATTCGGCACTTCGGAGAATGTCACCAAACTCGTCATGGAAACTTTCAAGGTTATGGATATCAATAATGAGTACAATGCCATCATTGGCAGAACAGCATTGTATAAACTTCGAGCCGCAGTTTCGATTTTTCACTATGCTCTGAAGTTCCCGACTACACGAAGAGAAGGGACACACTTCGGAGATCAAAGAGAAGCTCGAGAACTTGTTACGTTTATTCCCTCCAATGGAATCCACTCAACTTCAATGGGTAATAATGAAACCTCCCCACAGCAACACGCTTCAGACGACGCGGTGTCCGAAGAACCAAACAACCACGTCGGCGATCCTTCCACCTTGGATCCTTTAACCGAAGACCGAGGTCGCCGGCCTGGGAAGGAGCCACTACTTGAAGAAGACGAAGCCGAAGCGACCGAGCTGAACTTGGGGAAGACATAGAATTGATCTATATCGATGAACCAGTCTTCCACAAATCACTGCGTATTGGAAGTCATCTTCAAGAACCACTTCGGTCAGAACTTATCTCGTTTCTCAAACACAATTCTGATGTTTTCGCTTGGAAACACGAGGATGTGAAGGGCATTGACCCCAGTGTCGCTAGCCACAAGTTGAACCTTGATCGAACCATCCGGCCTATTGTGCAAAAGAGGAGGAAACTGGGGTCGGATTGTCAGAAGGCGTTGGAAGAAGAAGTCAAAAAACTCATCGACAACAAATTCATTAAGGAAGCCAAATACCCGACGTGGGTCTCAAATCCTGTTCTTGTTAAAAAGAGCAATGGACTATGGAGATTGTGTATCGATTTTTCTAACCTAAACAAGGCGTGCCCGAAGGATAGTTATCCACTCCCACATATAGATTATATGGTCGATGCAACGTCGGGACATTAGTTGATGAGTTTCATGGACGCTTACTCGGGCTATAATCAGATTCCTATGGATCCTGAAGATTCTGAACATACCTCATTCTATTCGGCCCGAGGCTTGTATTGTTATACAATGATGCCGTTTGGATTAAAGAACGCCGGAGCCACATATCAACGCCTTGTCAACAAAATGTTCGCTACACTAATCGGTCACACTATGGAAGTTTATGTTGACGACATGCTCGTCAAGTCGGTGCACGCCCCTGATCATATAACGCATCTTCAAGACATGTTCGCCATCCTCCGATCTTACTCCATGGTCTTAAACCCTAAAAAATATACTTTTGGAGTTGAATATGGAAAGTTTTTGGGCTATATGGTTAGCCAACGCGGAATTGAAGCCAATCCGGCCAAAATAAAGGCCATTCAAGATCTAACTCCCCCAACCTCGGTCAAGGGTGTTCAGGCCCTGACTGGCCGACTTGCTGCACTCAACCGGTTCATCTCCAAGTCTACAGATCGTTGCAAGCCTTTTTTCGAGGCAATCAAGAAAGGAAAACGTTTTGAATGGACCGAGGAATGCCAGAAAGCTCTCGTTAGCATCAAGGAGACGCTCACCTCCCCGCCGACTTTACAAAAGCCAAAACCCGAAGAAATGTTATTCTTATACCTTGGAGTCAATGATTCTGCCATTAGTGCTGTTTTGATACGAGAAGAGGGACTAATGCAATCGCCTATTTATTATGTCAGCAAAGCCTTACACGATGCCGAACTGCGTTACCCTCCGATGGAAAAGTTGGCGTTTGCACTTGTAATGGCAGCCTGGAAATTGCGACCTTATTTCCAAGAACATTCTATAACTGTTCGCACATCATATCCACTTCGGCAAATCCTGCACCGACCTGATACCTCGGGACGCATGGTCAAATGGGCCATTGAGCTCGGACAATTCGACATCCATTATCAACCGAGGACCGCGCTCAAGGCTCAAGCCTTATCTGACTTCATCGCCGAGTTCACTCCGGCCATTACAGTTCATCATGACAATCAACCATGGGTCCTCTATATTGATGGCTCCTCAACAGCTAACCGAGCAGGCGCAGGGATAGTTTTAGCTGATCCGGAAAACCGGTTATTCTGTCACTCGGTAAAGTTTCTCTTCCCGGCAACCAACAATGGAGCCATACGAAGCGTTGCTATCTGGATTGAATTTGGCGGAATCCATGAATGTGACTCACCTTAAAGTCTTCTCAGACTCCCAGCTCCTTGTCAACCAAATCAATGGTTCATATGAAGTCAAAGAACCTCGGCTGACACCTTATCTCTCTTTGGCCAAACGGAAATTGTCAAAATTCTCCGCCGACCTCGAGCACATCCCCCGAACTCTTAATGTTCAAGCAGATGCCTTATCTCGACTTGCGTCCAGTACCGGGATGGAGAGCGCGGAGTATGTCCAAATCGGCCAACAAGAACAACTGTCAACCACCTTTTCCGAGGTCGCAACCGTCAATCCGGTAACATCACAAAAACCAACAACTTGGATGGATCCTATTATCCACCACCTAGAAACTGGGGCCTTGCCCCCAGACCCAAAAGAAGCTCGAGCACTTCGGATCCGAGCAGCTCGGTATACGATGGACAACGGAACTTTGTTTAAAAGGGGATACTCCGTCCCACTTTTAAAATGCGTGAATGAAACTGAGTCACAGTATATTCTTGAAGAAGTCCATGAAGGGATTTGCGGAAGTCATCCCGGCGCTCAAGCATTATCTTATAAAATATTGCGACAAGGTTATTACTGGCTAACCTTAAAAACCGACGCTGCCACATGGGTTCGCAAATGCCCGAAATGCCAAGTATTTGCACCAAATGTCCATCAGTCTCCGGAAGAGCTCAAATCAATCTACAGTCCATGGCCATTCGCCAAATGGGGGATTGATCTCATAGGCCCTCTACCAACCGGAAAAGGAGGAGTCCGATTTGCTATCGTAGCTGTGGATTATTTCACTAAGTGGGCTGAAGCAGAACCGTTAGTCACCATAACCAAACAGAAAATCGTCGACTTTATATGGAAATCGCTCATCTGCCGTTTCGGAGTCCCAAACTCCATCATCACCGACAACGGTAAACAATTTGAAGGCAAACGACTTGAATCTTTGTGCGGAGAGTACAACATTAAACATTTTTTCTCTTCGCCTTATCACCCGCAATCCAATGGTCAAGTTGAAGCTGTAAACAAGCTCATAAAAAACGGCCTTAAAGTCCGACTTGATGCTGCCAAAGGAGCTTGGCCAGAAGAACTACCACAAGTCCTGTGGGCTTACCGGACTACCACTCGAACATCTACCGGCGAGACCCCATTTTCCTTAACTTACGGCTCAGAAGCCGTGGTTCCGGTTGAGCTCGGAGAACCGACATACCGAGTTCAACATTTCACCGAAGAGGCCAACTCGGAAAACGTAAAAATTAATCTAGACCTGCTTGAAGAACATCGTACCCGGGCCGAACTCAGGAATGTCGCTTACAAGCAAAGAAATGAGAGATATATCAATTCTAAACTCAAGCCTCGTTCATTCCGAGTTGGGGATTTGGTCCTCAAACGTATAATGGGGCCTGACCCCGGACCACTCAGACCGCGGTGGGAAGGACCCTTTCGAATCATTAAAGTCCTACCTCATGGGGCCTACCGAATTGCTCATCCTGATGGGTCACCGCATCAATATCCTCGGAATGCTGTGTTTTTGAAAAAGTTCTATCAATGAAGGATCCGAAGTCAGATAACCGACCTCCCTTTTGCACGGACCTTTTTTTCGCCTCGGTGAATAGGCGAAGTTACCCTTTTGATGTACTGAAAGGCCTGTCAGCTTGCGTTTTTGAAAATCCGAGCAACAGATCGATATCGATGTAAACAGTTTGAAGCTCAGTTCTATGAATGTTTTGTACCGATGTAAGCATTGCGACACTCGGTCTAGCTGATACCCCATAATATGTCCGAATACCACATATTTTCGGATGGGGGTGATGCTCGTCAAACGTCATTTCAACACATATGATTTGACGGACCCCGAACATTACCGAATACACAACATGTAAGTCGGTTGGGGCCATTCCATAATCGAACTCTGACGAAGTTCGGTGACTTTTATTTTATTTCCTGTACAGCCCTAAAAATGTGTTTAAGTTTCGCGAAGTTATTCGAAAACTCGCACATCGACTTGCACTTGTGGCTGAAATTATTATAAACGATCAAAGTGGAATTCGGAAAATATTTTTAACAAAAATTTACAACTCGGTTTATAATATAAACGAATCCGAGTTGAAGCAATTCTTTCAATAATCCGAACCGAATTCAGAACACTTGGTAAAAAAATTGCTGAAATTTGTACAGTAAATATGAATCAAGATAAAAAATTACGCAAACACTCCATATATATATATATATATGTTTTGTAAAAACAGTTGGGAAAATAAATACATACTTCCTACTAAGGGACTCAGTTATCTGATGTCCCCGATTACATATTGCTCACATTATATAATTCCTACTAAGGATGCCGACATGCCGGCACCCCGACTATATA